ACTAAGCTTAATTAACATAGTGTAAATTTAATTATTCTTTTATGTTTAATTTATAATTAATTAGTCAAATCTATAGATTAATAACTTAAACATAGAAACCGCTATAAAAATAGATGCATCTAAAAATAAAATAAAATAAAATAAAATAAAATAAAATAGAAAACATTATTGGTTTGATGACCCACTTAATTTAAAAATAATATCTAAAATCTACCCCACAAAATACCAATATTGGCCTTCCTCCACCGCCAATCAAAAAATGATTTTGATTTTAAAGCAAAAAAGAAAAAGAAAAATCGTTTTAATAATTAATTCTATTGAGCCAAAAGACTGATTTTTATTTTTAAACCAATTTAGTGCAACTTTTTATATATTCTCTAGGAATAGCAAAAATCAAAGGAATAAATAAATGCATAAATGTAAAGTTCCTCTTTAAATATGATTTTATTGGTAAGAAATTGCAACGCATAAAATATATTTAATAGTTGAAAGCTTAGTTTTAGTCGCGTATTTTTTAATTTAATAATATTAAAAAGTATACCATACAAGATATTTAGTTATTATTTTATCGTTCTAATTTTTAAATTTAAAATTGAATTTTTTAATTGAAAAATAATTTCGTAAAAAGATTTAAAATTAAAAATTGCATTCTTAAGGTCAAACATGACCAATAATACTTTTAGTGATATTTTTGAAAATTACAAATGATACAGTTCAGCCCTAACATGAAAATAAAAACCTTACTTAAAATAAAAAATGCTATTGATTAAATATTTACTTGAAAAGCTAAAATTAACCCACCTTATTTTCCACTAAAATAATAAATGTTTGAATATGTACCTCGTAAGTATTTTAACATTTAATTAAACAAAATTAAAATAGAATTTTACGACACAAAATTATAGTTTATAAGTAAAAAAATATTGTCTACATTCCTACCTATACATTTTAGAAAAATCAAAAGTAAAACTATTAGAACTTATGTTTGATGTGGATAATATCATACTATTGTGGAGATCCGTAGTTTCTAACATGGTATCAAGACTCCAAAGATTGATGGTCCATAGAAGGAGTCGAGGCTCGACTAAAGAGAGACTGCTATTTAAGGGCTTCATATAGGTCTCAAGAGGAACAATATTATACCAGAGGTTCATTCAATTCAATCAAATAAGAACAAGAATAGAAACAACTTCGGTTTTTTATTTTGTTTTCAATTAAAAAAGAAAAGAGAAAAAAAAGAGAATAATATTCTAGAGCACATGAGAGTATGATTTAGATGCTTATTAAAACTGACATAGCTGTCTTAATAAATACATAATCACACAGCTAAACATGAGCAATGAAATATTTAGTTTATGATATCAGATTCCCATTAAAGTTAAGAAACTAGATATCATATTCATACTTGCTGCGCCCAGGATCCAACCCTCTCTTTTTCATTCAAAAAAGTGTTCTAAAATTGTTGCCCTTTTTTTCACTGTAATGACCCTACTCAACTGAATCACTGTGCCATGGAGCAAACAAGGAAGGATCTGTCTGTCTTTCCAAATTATTTCTTCAACCAATAAATAAATAAAAAATACCTTCTTCTTCTTCTTCCTCCTTTAAATTAGCAGTTCATTTCAGCAAATTGAGATCTATTTCTTCTGTTTTAATGGCACTATCTTCTTCCTACTGAAATTTCCCCACAAATTTCCATCTGGGTGTTCGTTAATTTGTTCCTTTTCGCCTCTGTTCTTCGTTTCGATCGATACCCAGATGGCTCCGAGCTCTGTTGTTGTTACAATTGAGAAGCATAACAGCTTCCCTTTAGTGGAAATCAATGGCTCTGATTCCTTGTTGCTTCCGGAGAAGCAGAAGGCTGCGAGTCCCAAGCAGCTCACATGGGTTCTTCTTCTCAAAGCCCATAGAGCTCTGTTTTTCTTCTCATGGATGGCGATGACTATGAAGGCGGTGTTTGCTTCTGTTAAGAAACGCATTGCTCATGCGGATATTAACGAAGAGGATTCCAAAAGCCGTAAGTTATATAGATTCATTAAGGCTTTTCTTGCGATTTCAATTACGGGTTTGATCGTCGAAGTTATTGCTCATTTCAAAAAGTGGAATCTGCGAATGATTCAGCCATTGGAGCTCGAAGTTCATGGGATTATTCAATGGTTTTACGTCTCGTGGCTTTCGTTTCGTGTTGATTACATTGCGCCAATGGTTCTCATGCTTTCCAAATTCTGCATTGTTCTGTTCTTGATCCAATCTCTCGATCGCCTTGTTCTCTGCTTCGGCTGCTTTTGGATCAAATACAAGAAAATCAAACCCACGATTCAAGATAACGCTTATGATTTGGAAGATGCTTCGAATTTTCCTTTGGTTCTTGTTCAAATCCCAATGTGTAATGAGAGAGAGGTAACGAATCAGTACTCCCCTGATTTCATATGACACAAGGTGTTTGATTTTATTCCTCAATGAATCTTCTGATTTGTAAACTCCGTTGAATAGGTCTATGCGCAATCGATTGCTGCTGCTTGTGAGCTTGACTGGCCGAGGAATCGGATTTTGATTCAAGTTCTTGATGATTCAGACGATGGAAATCTTCAGCGTTTGATCAAAGAAGAAGTTCTATCATGGAATGAAAAGGGTGTTAATATTGTTTATCGACATAGATTGATCCGAACTGGGTACAAAGCTGGGAATCTTCAGTCCGCCATGGCCTGTGATTATGTTAAAGATTATGAGTTCATAGCTATTTTAGATGCAGATTTCCAGCCCAACCCAGATTTCCTTAAGCTAACAATCCCTCATTTCAAGGTACTGATGATGTTTTTATGAACATGACAGGGAAATCCCGAGCTTAGCTTAGCTTACGTTTTTATGAACACGACAGGGAAATCCTGAGGTGGGGCTTGTCCAAGCTCGTTGGGCGTTTGTTAACAAAGAAGAAAACTTGCTTACCCGACTCCAAAACATCAACTTGTGCTTCCACTTTGAAGTGGAGCAGCAAGTTAATGGGGTTTTTCTCAACTTCTTTGGATTCAATGGAACAGCAGGCGTTTGGAGAGCGAAAGCGCTCGAGGAATCCGGTGGCTGGCTCGAGCGCACGACGGTGGAGGACATGGATATCGCAGTTCGAGCACACTTGAAGGGATGGAAATTCATCTTCCTCAATGATGTCAAGGTGCTTTGTGAATTGCCTGAATCATATGAAGCTTACAAGAAACAGCAACACCGTTGGCATTCTGGTCCTATGCAGCTCTTCAGATTATGCCTTCCTTCCATCATTACTTCAAAGGTAAAACTCTCATCAAACACTACGCCACATGATCCATTCATTGAGCTTAAACTTTCAAATCATTGCAGATATCAATATGGAAGAAGACGAACTTGATATTCCTGTTCTTCCTCTTAAGAAAACTCATACTTCCCTTTTACTCGTTCACTTTGTTCTGCATAATTCTTCCATTAACAATGTTCATTCCAGAAGCAGAGTTGCCTCTGTGGGTAATCTGCTACATCCCAGTGTTCATGTCCTTACTAAACATTCTCCCATACCCAAAATCCTTCCCTTTCTTGATCCCATATCTCTTGTTTGAGAACACCATGTCAGTGACAAAGTTCAACGCCATGATTTCGGGGCTATTCCAGCTCGGAAGCTCATACGAATGGGTCGTGACGAAGAAGACAGGACGATCATCAGAATCTGACTTCCTAGCATTAGCCGAACGAGAGTCGAAAACATCGAACGAGGACAAGATTCTAAGGAGACATTCGGAGTCAGGGCTGGAGTTGTTGAGTAAATTGAACCAACAAGAGAAGCAAATGGCTTCAAAGAAGAAGAGAAACAAGGTGTATAGAAAAGAGCTAGCTCTTGCTTTTCTGCTGCTCACTGCAGCTGCCAGAAGCTTGCTGTCAGCTCATGGAGTTCACTTCTACTTCTTGCTGTTCCAAGGGTTGTCGTTCCTGGTGGTGGGTTTGGACTTGATTGGCGAGCAAATGAACTGAAAATGTGTTGGGAGTGGATTTGATAAGTAAGTTTTTTTTTGTTTTGTGTTTTTGAAATGGATTAGATATATAAATGGTTTAGAGGTTTTTTATTCAGTAAATTTGTACAATGATACGATATAGTATTGTTAGTAATATGGGCTTCAAAACACCAAATAATGGCAATTCTAAGTTATTTAATACCTGTTCTTGTTCTTTTTTTTTTTTTTTTGGAAAATGAAAATTGTTCTTCATTTCCAAACATTTTAATTTGTAATTAGTGCAGTTTACTGGGTGGATTATGTCTAAACATGGATGAAATTGTGTTTATCAAAATTTATCTTGAAAATTACAACTAAATCAATATAATCTTGTTTAAATAAAAGAATTTGTTCTTTTTTATAATGAAATTAAAGGGATAGTTGTGTCATTTCCTTAAATGTTTTATATATATAATAACTTTTCAAAAACTAAAAAGAAAAAGAATAATTTATACTTCGAAATATAAACCTCAAAATAATAATTATATTAAATAGAAAAAGTTTATGAATTAATCAATTTAAACTATATAGTAAGATTATGTTTGAAAAATACATTTTATTGGTAAATTAATAAAAATATCCATAAATTTTATATTTATCTCAAAAATTCCTTAAAACTTTTAAATTTTTAATTAAATTATTAAACTTTAAAAAAAAAAATTATTTAGAGTTAGTTTTAGTTGGAAATTTCAAAAATACTTTTAATTTAAAAAAATATTTTAAATTTAAAAGTTTAATAAATACCTTCAACTTTTTAAAATGTTTATATTTAAAAAAAAAAATTAAAGGTAGAATTAACAACCTTGACCTTTAAAAAATATTCAAAAAAAAAAAAAAAAAATCTTACTATTAATATAAAATAAATCTATCTATTTTGTTTTATTAATGTTATTTTTTAAATTTAATAAGTATTTTTAAAATTAGTTAATTTCCCCCTAATTTAGGAGACCAATATAAAGTCAAAGTTTAAATTAATACAATAATTTTGTTTTAAGAAAAAATGAAAACCGGTAGTCTAGTGCTCTTTCTGGTATCAATATCTAATTGGGAAGATGCTACTTAGGCTTCCTCCTCGTCTCTGGGTTTTCGATTATTCTGTATAGGCGTCAAAGCTTGTTCTTTATAATTGGAGAATTTTCTAACAACTTCAATTTTGCTCTCGCTCCCCGATTCAGGTTCGTTTCCTTTCTACAATTTCTACGTAATTCGGTGGTTTCTGGGTATGTATGTTGGTATCTGAGAAGAACTAAGATGACAAAATTTGTAGTTTTTATCGATTGTGGTTCTGGGTCTGCAAACATTACTCTCTTACTCGAGACATGTGAACGCGTTTCTTTTTCCATGATTATTATCTCCCTAATTAATGGTTGAATCATGATTCGTAATTCATGCCGATAAGCTGTTTGTTGAAATGTCTAAGTTAACTATTTATTGCTTATAAAGCCTCTTGAGCTTTGTTTAACTGCCCATGTTGTTGTTTGGTGCTCAATGTTATTTCAGTTGCTACCATATAAAAGAAACAGATAATGTCGTGGGCTTTATCAACTTTTGTTTCCTCTGAAGTTCCTCCCGTTTATGTTGTTGCTACTGCTTCTAGTCCATTGTTGGGTTGCACCACCAGCTGCTTGGAGGTAGTTGGTCCTAGAAGAACAAGGCTCCAATTATCTCTTTCAATGAAGTGGTCAAGTATGAGAACTTTTGCCACAGAGTTTAACAGAGTGTCTCATTTGCCGTCACGCCAAGAAACTTGGGAAGATCCAGATGATGGAAGCGGCAGTGATTTTGACGAGGAAGATGAAGAAGAAGAAGAAGAAGAAGTGGATGAGTATGACTTGAATTTTGAAAGTGATTGGGAAGGTGAAGGAGATGTTCAGGCCGTCTCTACTACTGATCAGCCTGCTGCAAACAAGTATGAGGAGGATCTTCGGAAAGGTTTTTACTGGCCTTCTTTTAACTTTTTGATCTGTTTCTCTTCTGGCCATTGCATATATGTTTCTCTCTTGCAATTTTTTCATTAAGAATATTGAAAATATGTTGAATGATGAAAGGGAAAGGTAGATTTTTTAGTCATTGATAGTTGATACTTAAGAACAATTCTACTTCAATCTTTTAAGTTTCAGTGAGTCACATTTTGATCTTTAAGATTTTCACTTCCATTTAAAATCTTATGTGAGGCCTGTGGTCACGGCAAGAAAGATTTGAGCCTATAAACAGAACGGTTCCTTTAAAGTAAATAGAAGCGTGACGTAGAGCAAATAAAATCAAAAGTGCATATATGAAAGATGCCATAATCGTATAACAATTTGAGCATCCAGGGAGTAGTTCAAAACACCAGATGGCTCATTTTTCTTTTGTTTATCTTGTAAAGACATTGTTTTTGTTTCTCTTGTAAAGACATTGTTTTTGTTTCTCTTGTAAAGACATTTGTGGGTTGCTTGTTCTTGTTCATGCCCATTTTACTTGCTGAAAATATACATTGTTTTATGAAGGCACAACCATAAGCAGTTTGATTCTAGAATAAAAAGTATATGGTAGCACCAGTTCTTTAATTGGCTTTCACCTCTCTTCTCTAGGACTGGACAGTGTCACTCTGCTGTTAGCTAATTTCCGATTATGGGTGGGGGTTGTTAGGAACCACGAACCCCCACAATGGTATGATATTGTCCACTTTGAGCATAAGTTCTCATGGCTTTGCTTTTGGTTTCCCCAAAAAGACTCATACCAATTGAAATGTATTCCTTACTTATAAAAACCATGATATCTCCTTAATTAGCCAATGTGAGACTCCCTCCCAACAATCCTCAACAATCCTCCCTTTGAACAAAGTACTCCATAGAGCTTTCCTTGAGACCTATGTAGCCCTCGAACAGTCTTTCCTTAAGCGAGATTTGACTCTTTTCTCTGAAGCCCTCAAACAAAGTACTCACTTTTTTACTACACCTTCGAGGCTAGCAACTTCTTTGTTCGACATTTGAGGATCCTATTAGTATGATTAAGTTAAGGCATGACTTTAATATCATATTAAGAATGACGCCTCCCCTTTCTCAACAGGGGTGCCCAATGATCCTTTATTTGTGATCTTTTAATGATACATATCTAAGATTTTGCCCTTTCTCAGAATCTCGTAAAGATCAAAGGACTGTTAATTATTGCAGAGATTGAACAACTTTTGGAACCCGAAGAACGAGCGATACTACAGCAGAATGCAACTCTGAATGTGGATAAACTGTCGACTGTAATGCTTCAAAATACTCAAATACCTTTTTCCCTCTTATCTATCTTTTGAAAAGGCAGCAACTTTCTTGTTTTATTTTTCTTCACACTTCTATTTAAAGCTATCTGCTTGACAAAAAAAAGTTATTGAACCTTTCATGTTCAGTCGAAATGGAATCCACTTCACACTTTTGCGCTATCAAGTCAGATTATTCCAATGGACAGACTACTTGAAAGTGGATTTGACATCGACTCTGTCGACGAGGTGAATATTATCGATATAATCCAATTTCTACATTTTATTGTTTGAAAACATAGATTCTTTACGTGAACTTCTTAGTCAAGGCTTTATGTGGTGAATCAGGATGGTTTTTCTGCTCTCCATAAGGCAATTATTGGCAGAAAGGACGCTGTCATTGGTCATCTTCTAAGAAAAGGTGCAAGTCCTCATATCAAAGACAAAGTAAGAAGTTTATTTAGTTATGCTGCTTATCCAATTAATTTCCTAGGACTGTGCTTTCAGAAACACCATGACTTTAAGTAATTTTTTTCTTCATAGAATGGTGCTACCCTGCTTCATTATGCTGTTCAAGTTGGTGCAAAACAAATTGTGAAGCTACTAATAAAATACAATGTGGATGTCAATGTTGCAGATTCTGTGAGCTTTTTCCTTCAGAAAACTACAAAAAATGAAGCATCTTGTTTAATTTTCTTGCTACAAGTTATAATAACTCTGCCTTGAATACTTGTATAGGATGGATGGACGCCATTGCACATTGCTATCCAAGGTAGAAATAGAGATATAACTAAGATTTTGTTGGTCAATGGAGCAGATAGGAACAGAAGAAACAAGGTAAGTTTTGAAACATATTCATCAAAAGTTTCCAACTTAGCAAATTTGAAACCGAAACCTGTTACGTAAGGTTAAATATTAAAACATTTTGATTTTAAACTATTTCTTAGTTCTTGTTCTCGGACAGTAAACATGACATAGTCATGCATTTCAGGATGGAAAGACACCCTTGGATTTGAGCTTGTGTTATGGGAAAAACTTCAAGTCATACGATCTTTCCAAGTTACTAAAAGTAGTGCCTGTTCGTGGAGCGTTTTGATGTGCCAATTTGAAACATCCTTCTGCTTGCATTGACCACTTTGTATTTAAGTCTTTGGTTGAAGTCCACAAGACCTTGGTTGCATAACTCTCTTTCATTCTCTAATAGACATAGTAATTAATGTGTTCATTAATCTTTAATGCATTTTTTTTAATTAATAATACTATTTTCTATCTAGTTTAGTCGAGATATATTTGAGAGGCATGAACATTTTAAAGTATATTTTTACTTCGTAATTTTATGCATATAACTAGAGGAACCTATGGACTGTAAACTCCTTGTTATTATCACCTGGCCTGCAAAGTATGAAGCTATGGAGGATGCCGAATCATCCTCCATTTGGCTCCTATATGCCGTTCTATACGCCAAAATTTAGATCCATCTGAAAAAGAAACAAACGATTCTTTGTCCGTTCATATTTTGACACTTCCAAGGAAGTTGTCAGGCAAATGATCCTTCTTTTCCCTCTATAAATTCCCACCATTAGAACATCACCACTCACCAACATCAAGAGACAATCTCAGCCCGAGCAACAGAATAAAGAAGAAAAAGAAGGAAAATGGGTCTTCAGAAATGTTTGGGTATGGGTCTAATTTGGGTTGCTTGCTTGCTTGTTGCCATGGCTACAGAAGCAGAAGCTCAGAACTATGGCGATAGCTCCAATTCAGCTGAGGCCATATGTTCCCACCCAATGCTCCTCAAGTTTCTTGGTCTTGTTTCTTTTTTGGTTCTCAAAGAGATGGTTTGAGTTCCCTGATGATCTGACTGTCATTCTGTATTGCAACAATTAATTTCTTACTGTTTCTTCTTTGTCTGCCTTTGGAGTTTGCGTGTGTCATGATGAGTAGAATTGATGGGACTTACTGTATTTGAGAGTGTCTGATATGAAATTGCTGAAGTCATTTCAATATGTTTTACTGTGTTGGGTTGAGATTGAATCTCAAAATGCAGCATTGTTATGCATGAATGTTTGTTGAAGTAGAAACAAGTTCATTGAACTTTGTAAACATTATGGCAGAAAACACACCAAATTGTATGAAACTAAAACCTGAAATTGGCAGGGATCAAGAAAGACAGAAGGTTCTTAAAAAGGAAAAGGACCTGGTTGAACTAAAGTTGAGATTTCGACAGGATAAAATGATTCTAAAGAATTGCTTTCATCAAAACAAGAGCTGGGATTTGATTGACTACATCACTTTGAGAAAGATCCTTCTCTGGAAGCTTGACTTTAAGGTAGCATGATAAAAATGAAGATAAAAACTCAAGATTTCACCATTTCACTGAGGAAGGAATTACATTTTCATGTATACCAATTGATATTAATCCCTAGAAAACGCCTTCACGGGTATGTTTATAAAGAATTCAGGAAACAGATGGATAGAGGAATTAAATCCAAGTCGTACCTAGAACAATCAAGTCCAACCTCCTCAAAGACAGATTGAACATGAGGGTAGCAGCTAAAGCATATACTTTCACCAAGACGAAAACTTGACCTAAATGAACAGAGGGAAGAACAATATCAACCAAAGAGAAACTCAAAAAAGTAGGCCACGGAGAAATCCTGTGAATCAAAGTGTAACCGCCCAACATCAATTGTGAGATCCCACATCAATTGGGGAGGAGAACAAAGCATTCTTTATAAGGGTGTGGAAACCTCTCCCTAGCATATGCGTTTTAAAAATCTTGAGAGAAATCCCGAGAGGGAAAGCTCAAAAAGGACAATATTTGCTAGCGGTGGACTTGGACTATTACACAAAGATGGTGTAATTCAATACAAGCCACGGTTGATTGAAATATTCGGATACCTTTTGAGTCATGAACAGCAGAGAAAGTCTTAATAGGGCTTTGCTGCTCAGTTTACTACTCAACCTATAAAAAGGTTCATGATGTCCACAGCAACTTACAAGTAAAAGTGTTTACCCAAAAGAAACTATACGAGGAAGGCCTAAAAGGTTATCTACAAAATGAATTATGAAAACAGGGATCATCTCAAAGAACCAACAAATTCAGAACCTCAGCAATTGAACCAACCAATAATGTTTTCCCCCTCACTCACTAATCATCAAATCAACTGTGTTTATGCACTAGCAGGTAAGATTCAACCTTAATATGAAGATAATAAAGAAAAGATGAAATTCATAACACAAAATACAAAATGCACCCTTGTTTGAAATGCTCTAGCGTTTAAATGGGACCCCTCTAAAACAGCTAGAATCAATTGAAGGTTATACAAGTTCATAGGGAAGAGCTATCAGATTAAAGCACAATATTGGCGTCAAAGCTTCAAGCTTCGACAGTGTTACCAAGAACAAAAGAGAACAGCTCCCGAACAGGGGAAAATTCCACCAACCCAATATCAATTGCGTACCCGGAAACTGGTAGCTTCAAATCCCTTAGAACACAAAATGCCTCAGCCATTCGAGCCCTGGGCACCTCCTGAGCAACAGCGCAATGGGGAATCCACGAGCCGGGACGATATTCCTCCCCGATTTCAATTCCTTCTTTCCTCATTGCTTCGCACAATTGGGATTGGAATTGGAGGAGTGAAATCGAAGGTGCTGGACCAAGAAATAGAACGTTATTGTCACTGGGAAGACTACCAATTGACGATAAGGACAATGGCAAGGGTTCCTGTTTAGAAGCGAAATTTTTAACGATGGATTCAACTTTTGTGGGTTCAAGAAAAGGGCTGGAGAAGAGGGTAATGTGAGGGCGTGATTCAATTTCAATGAGTTGGGTACTAATTTGACGGCGAGCCAGTACATTCCAAGCCTTGAGAACTTGATTTTCAAGCGCTGGATCGAAATAGAGCTCGATCGCAAAGCCTTGTGACATCGCCTTAGAACTCAAAATCCTCAAGGTAAAATAGTGAAAAACAGGGCGAAATAAACAAAACCCAGAAACCAATTTCAAATTTCGAATTACAAGAGAAAGAAAAGCGGGGAACACGAAAAGATTAGAACAATCTGAAATGAAAAATTCAAAACCCTAGAGATAGAACACAAAAAAACAGACGAATACAGAAAACCCAGAAGAAATCGATGAACCCAGATGCCCAAAAACCTACAAAAAGAATGCGAGGAAGAGGTAAAACAGAAATGGAAAATACGAATTTCAAGAAAGAGAGGAGCCCAAGAATGGCGATGAAAGGAAGATCAAGAAATGGGAAGAACGCAGACACCTAAAGCGGTGAAGTGAAGTAAAAAGTGGGAAAGAGAGGGTGAAATAGAAAGAGGGATGAAAGGAAAGGCTGTGCAAGAGAGTCTCGGAGCTGCACAGCCACTTGCTAAGAGGCGAACCGAACCAGATTAGGTGTCCTCCGAGTGGATCGAAACGAGGAAGACAAGGGGAGAGAGAAGGGGGCATCGGCCAGCCCGCTTAAAATACCCACACCCAACCACCGTTGAACTTGGAACCCCTTTGGTAGACCGAATTGTTCTTCCACACTTAAAAAAGTAATTTTTTCAAATTTGAATTATGCTTTTATTTGTTTTCAAAATTTTCATATCACTAACAAAATATTCGTTTGTTTGCATAGATTAGGCTTCTCGATCTTTTAAAAAGTATTCCGTATAAGTGTGTTAATGGGTCAAAGCAGACAATATTTATACATTTAAATTAACCCTTCATTCATTACTACCCTACGGCATGCTACAAATGGTACAGTTTCCTCCCAAGCTTAGCCATAGCCATAGCTTGGATGGTGAATAAAAGTTGGATATTTATACATTGTCTGCACTGTGTCTGTGTGTGTTGTAGCTTCCAAGAAGAGGTACTCTCTGATCTTCATGTGATTCCTTGTTACCACTAAGATTATGGGTATGGCCTTCTTCTTTTTCTTCTCCAACGCCCCTCTCCTCCTTTGCTTTTCCCCACATCACAGTATAAAACCCTATGGATATTATGGATGCTCCAACAACACTGTAAAACACACCAAAATTTCAAACTTCTTCAAGTTAGTTCAACTGTTAGAACTGATGCTAGAAACTTATGGTTAATTTCTCTTTGTGATCATACCTTCCAAGATATAGTGAATCACCAAGAAATAGAACACCCATTACGATGGCAACAACGATCGACAATGGCTTAAACATCGCTACGAACACCGGTCCTTTCAAGCGGAGTGCCCATGTATGAACTGTATTATTCAAGCATGATCCAAAAAGTCCCTAAGAAAAAACAGCTTTTGTAAGTCATAAAACAGATGATAGGAGTATTATTAAGTGCCTTTTTCTTGATTCTTACAGAGCATAAAACAGAGGCCAATGCTATATGTTGCCTCAAAATCCAAGCGCTTGGATCTGTCTCTAAAACCACCCCAACAATGGCAGCTATGAAGGCCACTGTTAAGTTGTAGAAGAAGACCACTGTTGCCTCGTCTGGGTATTCCTTCATAATTCTTGTCTGTCAGAATGTTCAACAGTTTCAAGGTTAAGATAGTTACTCTGAGATCCTACGTCAGTTGTTTAAAAATTGTGAGGTTGACGGCGATACATAACAGACGAAAGTGGACAATATCGACTAGCGATGGGCTGTTATAAATGGTTTCAGAGCCAGACACCGGTCGGTAAGTCAGCGAGGACGCTGAGCCCTTAAAGGGAGTGGATAGTGAGGTTGTATATTGGTTGGAGAGAAAAACAAAATACATTTCTTATACGAGCGTAAAAACTTGTTTCTAATAGACACGTTTTAAAACGGTGAGACTAACGACAATACGTAACAAGCTAAAACAGATAACCTCTATTAGTTGTGAAGTTAGACGGTTCCATTGCACGAGAACATGAAGAAGAGTTACCTGAACAATGTACCAAAGGGGAACCAAGATGTATTCAGCAGTCAAGAGAAGGCTGCCAATGAGCCAATTAGAGTGGGAAGAGGCCAATGGATGATGAAGAGAAAGCGACGAGGGCGCTGAAGACAAAACAATCCTTGGGCCCTTGTAAAGAGTGACCACAAAGGCACCTGATATGGATATTATGGTGCCCATCACTTTGGCTTGACTGCTATGCCTCTTCAATACCACTTTCTCCATCCTAATTCCATATTATTATAAACTCATTAGTATAATTACATGCCTTAATCAACTATCAAACTAATTCTTTTTTTATTCAAAAATTAAATAAAATAACTTAATTGTCACTTTTAAAAATATTTAAAAATACAAACTTTATTTTAAGATATAAACAAAATGGGCCCAAATTATCAGAAATAAAAACATAAACTTCCAAATTTTAAACACTATTTTTATCTACAATTCTTTTTATTATCCATTTTTTTATAAAAAATTCCAAAATCTCCAACAATAGTTTTTAAAGCGTTTTTTTTTAATTTTTTTTATTATAGAATTTCCCAAAATTTTAAAATGCTTTTTTACGAATATTTAAATTATTGCAGAGAAAAAATAAGGAAAAAAAGTGTGTGTGTGTGTGTATATATTTTTATAAAAATAACTGAAAAAATGGGCTAACTAAATAAAAACCTTAAAAAAATCAAGAAAAAAAAACATAAATTACGGAGGGGCTTTTTAAATTATTTATTTATTTATTATTATTGTAAAGTAATTAAAACAAAATGACCTCTGGCTTATTATAACGACCCTTCAAGAGAAACAGAGGAAGGCGACGAAGAACCTGAAAATGACGGCGAGGATGAAAGTGAAAGCAGGAACAAGGTTGCTGATAGCGGAAGCAAGCGTTGGAGAACTGTAATTGATTCCTGTGTATCCCATAATCTGCGAAGAAGAACTGCCAAAATCGAAACAAAACCAGAACGATAATTTCAGTTCATGAACTCTTCAAACTCGATTAGGTCACCGAAATCGCGTACCCGATGAGTCCGAGAAGCGCGATCTTGGAAAGTACAGAGAAACTCAGAGGTGGTAGACGCCTGGATCTGCGAGAGATGAAGGGAGAAGGGAGGAGGAGAAGCGCGGCCAGGGAGTAAGAATAGACGACGAAGACATGGTGGCTCATGCCGGAGGCGGTGGCGGCTTTGAAAAGAGTGTTGAGACCGACGTTGATACACTCCATGGCGATCATCACCGGAAACGGTAGAGCCGCTTCCATCAGGTATGTTCCACTTCCCGCCATCTCTTTGCGTTCAGACCTCAAACTCGGTTCCTCTGTTCTTCAGGAAAACAGAGTCGTGATTTCCGAAGGCAGTGGCCGAGTGGGGGTATTTTAATATAATATATATAAATAAATAAAATCATTATTATTATTTTCACCACTAAACACTATGTCAACGTCCTTGCATTATATTAATACCAATAGCATATTTGAAGCTACCTCTATGATTAAGATCGTATAATTACTTTTTATCCCCTGTTTAATTCTTAAGAAGTATTTATAAATGCTTATATTATTTGTTTGTTGTGCATCAACAAGGACCTGAACCGTTAGTTTTTTATGTTCTTAGGTGATTCAAATAGGCTATAGATTCTTGGCGTGGCTCTTACTCTTCCATATTTTCTTGATTTCAGCTCCTTTTCCTTTTACTTTCCCTTTTTCCTTTTGCTTTTAAGCTCAACGATGAAACTAGGTGTTCGTGCTACTCAATATCTTATGATTTTAGTACCATTAGTTGTATAACTAAGGCTGCCTTCGTATTCTTTTAAGAAATTCTTGTATCCTTTCTTAAGAGAAAAGATTTGGAAGTTGGGTAAAGACTTCCTCCTCCTTTTGACTCGATCACTTAGAAACATTTTAAAATTGTATGGAGTTCTTTTAAGTATTATTATTACTTTAGAGTTAAATATTATTCTCACTAAACTAATACAATTCTTCAGAGTACACCTTATTAGTATAGAGAGTTACTTTCATTTCTTTTAAGATTTTTTTAGTCATTCTATCTTCAAGATCGTTTTCATTTAGATGTGATCCTAGTTCATTTATATATCATTCCTTTAAATAGGTGTCATGACATTGAACATGTGTTGAAGAGATTTGATCCAGTACTAGCACGTTTTGAGGTAGATGAATCCAATGCCCAACGTAAGTATTGAACATTGAAACACTGACATTAACTATTCAAACCCGCCCTACTAGAGAGGTTCCAAAATTGTTGTCTTGGGTATGTTGTAGAGAGGAGTGGTGCAAAAGGGAGGCAGATGGTGATTCAGAAGTAGAAGGAGGTGGTAAGTCCAGGTCCAATTCTAGTTGTTTGATCTGCCCCCATATCACACTATAAAACCCACACCCAATCACCACCGATCCGATCACACTGCCAAGTGCCAATAGGAAATCACCCATTATCATTGCTTTATAAGCACGAGACTATGCAGGGGTTGGCCAGCTTACCTGCCGAGACAAAGCGACTCACGAAGAAAGCTGACGGCCAAGGCGACGGCAATGACCATGCCCAGGGGCTTGAACATTGCAACAAAGACTGGGCCCTTCCTTTGCAAGCACCATGTGTGGACGCCAGTACGAACCATACTCCCAAATATGGCCTGCCATTTGCCAACCCAAACTAATTCATTACCTATATCACTAACTATGAACTTAATTCGTTTAGTTTATGGGTTTCTGTGTCGGTTTCTTACGGAGAATACGATGGTGACCATTTCGATGTCGGGTCGGACTTGCCACACAGTTGCCTTTGTATTGATGACGACAGCAAAGGCTGCCGTTTGGACCGTCACAAAGAATGTGAAGAAGAACATGCTTGTGATCTTTTTGTTTGGGTATACGCTAACAAACCATGTATGCAGAATCCAGAACAAAACATAATAGTCGACAATATTAAATTATTGTGAAAATTGTTAGAAATCACTATTCTCCACGGTGATATTGTCCCTTTGAGCATGAGTTCTTATGACTTTTTAGGTTTCCCCAAAAGGTCTCATACCAATGGAGATATTATTCCTCACTTATAAACCCATGATCTTCCACTAAATTAGCTAATTTGAGACTCCATCCCAACCATTCTCAACTATCCTCCCCCCGAACAAAGTACACCATAGGCCTCCCCTGAGGTCTATGTAGCCTTCAAACAGTCTCCCTCTAATTAAGGCTTAACTCCTTCTCTGGAGCCCTCGAAGGAACAAAGTACACTATTTGTTCGACCCTTGAGTCACTTTTGAATATACTTTCGAGACTCACAACTTCTTTGTTCGAAATTTGAGGATTCTATTGACATGACTAAGTTAAGGCAAGACTTTGATACCACGTTAGAAATCATGACTCTTCACAATGGTATGATATTGTCCACTTTGAACATAAGCTCTCGTTACTTTGTTTTGGGCTTCCCAAACCCCCCTCCCAACAATCCTGAACAAAGATGGAGAATGAATTACCTGAGCAATCTTCCAAGTTGATGATAGAAAACAAACCATTAGAAAGAGAAAGCCACCAAACACCCAGTTTGGCTTCTGTGACAGTGCTACAGCTTCTTGTCCCACCGACTGAGAGGAGGAGGACATGATCAACACAGGCCCTTTATACAGAGTTATTAAGAAAGCTCCTGACACAGCTATAATGGTACCCAAACACTTGGCTTTCCCACTGCTTCTCTTCAAATCAAGCCTCTCCATTCTGAACCCAATACCAAATTTCTAAGCAAGATCTTGATGAATATAAGGAGGTGTAAACTGAGTAACTCTAAATCTTACCACCTGAAAATAACAGCAAGAAGAAAGGTGAAAATGGGGATGAGATTTGCCATTGCTGATAAAAGAACAGGGGAGCTGTAGTTTATCCCTGTGTTTGCCAATAACTCACCCACACTCCTGTCCATAACAAAATTATTCAACTTTTTGAGCCAGAAAAAGGTTAAATTATTGAAAGAATTTAACTTTTTGTTACCCATTAAGCCCAAGGAGAAAGAAGGCAAGGATCATAGAGAAAGATAGAGGTGCACCCAGATTGTTTCTGCACAAGTTTTTCATTTGATCATCAGAGTTCTTCATAGAAAGAAGTAAAACTGTAATGGGTTTGATTAGAAGAAGAACCTGGAAGAAAAGAGGAAAAAGGGAAGGAGAAGGAAGGTGGCGAGAGCGTTAGAATAGACGAGGAAGACCAAGTTGTTCATCCCTTTGGCATGGCTGCTTTGATTAGTGTTGATATGATCACATCTGTGCTCTCCACCATTATCATGGCAGTGAAGGGCATGGCAGCCTCCATCATCTGCAACATTCTGATCTGATCTGATTCTAACAAAGAACAAGGAAAAAGAGGGATTTGTATTGGTTATTGATATCTGTTGTTTACAAGAAAACTATCATTTATGGATGGCTAAAAGTGATTGATGTTTGAGATTTTGTCTTCATTGTTGATGCTTGAAGGAAAAGGAAAGGTATAAAAGAAGAAACAACTTAATTGTATCGCCCCCTTTTAGATTTAAGACAAAGGCATGATCCAACACATCATTCATACTCAGTTGCACCAAATTAATTTCATTTAATTGAGATGTGAATGCTCGTAATCATTCAATATAGTGATGGATTTCACTAGCACGAATCCCTTGAACTCTCTAACTCGGTGGACTATGTGGTTATTGGTGCTCTAGGTGCTAACTTCATTGATGAACTAGGTAGATCATCCTATTTTTGTAACTCTCGTTTTCATTGGAGCCCAAATATCTAGAAAAGAACAATTCCCATTGTTTTGGGACTTTTCTCTTTGTCTCATATGCTCTGTTATTTCTCAACTTACCTGGCAAAAACATCATATCTGAGTCACTTTGATTGGCACCTCTATCAGCAGGCTTGAGTATTTCAAAGACTCTGTAAAAGCCAAAAGAAATCAATCTCTAATTGCGTCATATACCAAAGCCCTTTTGTTTTATTGCTCAACAACATATTGGAACATTCTAATGTGTCAAAAGTGATCCAGTTTTTCTTTATTTTTTAGTCTAACGGTAACAGTCCAAGCTCACCATTATCACATATTATCCGCGTCTACTAGGGAGAGGTTTCCACACCTTTATAAGAAATATTTTGTTCCTCTCTACAACCGACGTAAGATCTCACAATCCATCCCCTTGGAGACCTAGGGTCCTCTCTGGCACACCGCCTAATGTCTGACTCTAATACCATTTGTAACAAGCCAAGCCCACTGCTAATAGATATGTCCACTTTGACCTGTTGCGTGTCGCCATCAATCTCACGGTTGTTTAAAACGCATCTAATAGGGAGAGGTTTCCACACCCTAATAAGGAATATTTTGTTTCCCTCTCTAACCGATGGAGGATTTCACACTAGCCCTCCCCAAGAAGTTGTAAGGACCTGAAACTGTTTATGGTCCGACCTGAGAAGTTTATTGTGTTAGGATAATGAACCTCCCATATTTTTACAATGGTATGATTAACTTTCATCCTAACTTGTAGCGAAGGTATCATATCGATAGCCTCAAGAATGAGTCCAACAGGTCACTATGCTTGATTTTTCTTGTAAGGGTTGTTTCATGTATGTTCTTGTGATGTTCTTTATGGGATAAAAAATATTGGATTGATATCAACCATTGATCAAGAACTGATATCAGAAGCACTTCAAATGGTCAACAAAATGGATGAGTTTGATTTAACATTATATCAGAAAGTTTCCATTTACTGATATATGTAAGAATACAACAACTAACTTCTCTGTAGATGCCGGCTTCCAAATTTTCATATGCTATCAATGAGAAAAATGGCATTTTCTTCATTGTTTTATTGCAAATCATTAGCCAGTTGGAGCTTAAAGAACTCCAACAATGGCTTCATTGCTATGCACACCCTTTACCTTTTATCCTCTCTTGTTTATTAGCCATTCTTTAAAACCCTTCTTCTGTTAACTTCTCCAGGTTGATTTCCCCACAAACATTGAAAAAATGAATCAAATTTCCATCTGGGCGTTTCTTGTTTGTTCATTTCTGTTCATCTTTACCAATGCTGCTGCTGTCGATGATTCTGTAAAGAGCTCACTGATTCAGTTTCTTGCAAAACTAAGTCCCCAAAATGGCCAACACAACCAGCATCTTGGATGGAACATTTCTTCTGATCCTTGCAAGAACAGATGGCTTGGTTTGGTCTGTGATGGAAGAAATGTTTCTGTAAAGAAACTGTTTCTTGATGGCTTGAATCTTTCAGGAACTCTTCAAACAAGCTTCCTCTGCAACTCAAAGCCTCTACTGAATTCCCTCACTGTTCTAAGCCTCAATTACAACAACATCTCTGGAGAAATCCCAGCTGATATTGATAATTGCAAGCAGCTGACACGGTTTCATGTAAGAGGAAATAAATTCCATGGAAATCTACCAAGTTCTTTATCCAAGTTAGTCAACCTTAAAAGACTCGAACTTTCAGACAATAACTTATCTGGGAACTTGCCAGATTTGTCAAGGATCTCAGGCCTCACCATGTTCCTTGCTGAGAACAATAAGTTCTCTGGAGAGATACCCCAGTTTGAATTCTCCAACTTTGAGAGATTTAATGTTTCCTTCAACAATTTCTCCGGTCTGATTCCGACCGACAGCGGTAGCTACTTTGCTTCAGACAGCTTCATGGGAAATCCACTACTTTGTGGAGATCCATTGCCAACAAAATGCCTCTCACTCAAGCTAGAAGAAGTCAAACCAGGAGGTGAAGAATCAAAGCACAACAAAGACCATATTTTGATGTTCTCAGGATACATAATGATAGGTGTTTTCTTAACATTTATAGCAGTTTTCATGATATGTAAAAGGAGGGAAAAGGTAAGAAAAGAGGATTCAAGAAACAGAGTTGCAGCAGTAGATGATGATGGAATTAGCAGCAAGTTCAGTACTTTTTCTTTGTCAAGTGAATACAAAACAAGCAAGGCAGAGTTTTCAATGCTTTCAAGTGAGAGTGGAGGGTTGTCATCATCTCTGATAGTGCTTACAAATCCAGTGGTGAATGGGCTGAAGTTTGAGGACTTGCTTAAGGCTCCTGCTGAGCTGATTGGGAGAGGGAACCATGGGAGTCTTTATAAGGTTATGTTTGATTATGGGATGGTGTTTGCTGTGAAGAGGATTAAGGATTGGGGCATTTCAAGTGATGAGTTTATAAAAAGGATGTGGAAGATTGATAGAGTGAAGCATCCTAATGTGCTTCCACCACTTGCCTTTTATAGTTCTGATCATGAGAAGCTTTTGGTGTATGAATTTCAGCCTAATGGAAGCCTGTTCAGCCTTCTTCATGGTAAGATTTCTAACCCTTTTAATATGCTCATTATTCACTTTTTTTTTTTTTTTATGGTAACAATCTAAGGCCACCACTAGAGATAGCTTTTCCTTTCTAGTTTTTAAAACGCGTCTGTTAGGAAGAGGTTTCCACACCTTTATAAATAATGACTTCGTTCTCCTTTCCAACCAACGTGGGATCTCACAATCTACCCTTCTTCGAGGCCTAGCGTCCTTGCTGACACTCGTTCCCTTCTCTAATCAATGTGGGACCCTCCAATTCATCCTTCTTTGGGGCCAGCATCATTGCTGGCACACCGCTTCGTGTCCACCCTCCTCGCTGGCATGTTGCCCGGTGTCTGGCTTTGAAACCATTTGAAACTGCCCAAGCCCACCACTAGTAGATATCGTCCTCTCTTCAAGGTTTTCAAAACGCGTATGCTAGAGGGAGGTTTCCACACCCTTATAAACAATGTTTCGTTCTCCTCTTCAACCGACGTGTGATCTCATAAAACTCATCTGAGTATCATAGTCCATCAATTACAAAGCCCAAAAGCGCTCATATTTCTCATTTGAAATCTCAGGATCATCAAGCCACAACAAGAACTCATTCCCCTGGATCAGCAGGCTTGACATAACAGGCAGAATAGCGAAGGCATTAGCACAAATGCACAAGGGGTTAGAACAAGAAGAAATAGCTCATGGCAACTTGAAATCATCAAACATACTCATGAACTGGAACATGGAGCCGTGCATAAGTGAATATGGGCTCCATGAAAGCACCTCCTTCAGATCAGATGTTCATGGATTTGGGCTCATCCTCCTTGAGCTGCTCACAGGGAAGCTTGCGAGAGATGAAAAAGGGATTTGTTTGGCAGATTGGGTTAGAACTGTTCTTAGAGAAGAATGGACTGCAGAAGTTTTGGACAGCTCCTTGTTGGCTGAAGCAGCAAGCGAAGAGAGGATGGTGAACTTGTTAGTGGTCGCTGTTAAATGCGTTGAGAGTTCTCCCCATGCAAGGCCCAACATGGACCAGGTTGTTGCCATGATTGACTCAATCAAAGGAGGATGAACAAGACACTATCATTCTCTCAAATTAGTGCCAAAAAATTTTAATTAATGTTCGATTCAAGCATCACTCAATTAGTTAAATTATATATTTTAGAGTTGAAATGATTGAATTCACATGCTCGTTTTATGTGCCCGTTTTACCCTCTTATTTTAAATGATTTTCCAATTTTACCCTTCAATCCACTAAAAAAATTTAGGAACCCTTTCCACCATGATTTATTATATTTTTATTAAGTAAAATATATGAAAATTTTGATTAAAAATATATATATAACTTTTTGTTTCTTTTTTTTATTTTATAAAAAAGGAATAAAAAGTAAAAACTTTTGGCTTTAACTTTTGATGACATTTTTCAATTACATTCAGAGAAAGCAAATAATAATAATAATAATAATAAACTATTAATTTACTTTCCCTCCCACTTATTTTCAGTTAGGCAATCACAAAAGGAAAATCATAATATCCCTTAAAAGTGGCTAATGGCCTAAATAAAGCACATGATTGCTTGTGGAGGATGACATTCAAATTTCTTCTTTTTCTTTAAAAGAAAAAAAGTTAATTAATAAAAATTCTTTTTATATAATTTAAAAGTCGAATATTTCAGTAATTATTTAGTGGAGAATGTATTGATCTCAATTTTATTTTATATTTATTTAAAAAAAAAAAAAAAAAAAACCCATTCACATGTTGCAACCTTGAAAGAACCAATTACTTACCCAAACTTCAAGTAAAGTCTTGAACCAAAGCAGTTGACAATTTTATCTCATAAATAGCTTCAAATAAATGCCACTAAACTTTTTGTTCTCATTAATAATTATTTTTATCTTATTTCTAACCAAATAATTAATCTATTAAATATAAATATAAATTTTATTTTTAATATTGATATCATGAATTTTAAATTTAACAGATATCATTACACACACAATTTTAAAAAATTAAAAACTATATTTTAATTTTACAAATTTATAGTATAAAATAAAAGATTTAGTGTATAACTCTTAAATCTTATTCAAGCCCGCACTTTGTCTCTTATGGTTGACCTATTACTCTCCCACGCGCACTCCCCGCGCGTGTTCTCAATCCACCGCTTCCTTTCCCTTTCCCTTCCCCCTCAACTCTTGTCTCTGTCACTCTTCTGGGCTTCTCCCGTTCTCTCCAAAAGAGACAAGAGAGAAAGGTATCTATCCCCCCCCCCCCCCCCC